ATACACCAACAGAGAAACTGCAGAAACAGAGACTAAAAAAGCAATTCCATTTACCATCACACCAAAAAAATTAAGATACCTAGGAATAAATTTAACTAAGGAAGTAAAGGACCTATATGCGGAAAACTACACGACACTGAAAAAAGAGATAGAGGAAGATGTAAGGAGATGGAAGAACATACCATGTTCATGGATTGGTAGGATCAACATCATCAAAATGTCCATACTTCCTAAAGCAATCTATAGGTTCAATGCACTCCCCATTAAAATACCAACGACATATTTCACCGACCTAGAAAGAACTCTCCAAAAGTTCATTTGGAACAATAAAAGACTCCGAATAGCCACAGCAATCCTGAGAAAGAAGAGTAAAGTAGGAGGGATCTCAATACCAGACTTCAAACTATATTACAAAGCCACTGTTCTCAAAACAGCCTGGTACTGGCACAAGAACAGACATATAGATCAATGGAATCGAATCGAGAACCCAGATATCAACCCAAATCACTATGCTCAATTAATATTTGACAAAGGAGGCACGAATATACAATGGAGTCAAGACAGTTTCTTCAATAAATGGTGTTGGGAAAATTGGACAGACACATGCAAAAGAATGAAACTGGATCACCAACTTACACCATTCACAAAAATAAACTCAAAATGGATACAGGACTTAAACATCAGACGGGAAACCATAAAAATACTAGAAGCATCCACAGGCAGCAAAATCTCAGACGTATGCCAAAAGAACTTCTTCACTGATACTACCCCTAGGGCAATGGAAGCTAAAGAGAAAATAAACAAATGGGACTACATCAAAATAAAAAGCTTTTTTACAGCAAAAGAAACCATCAACAAAACAACAAGAAAGCCCACAGTGTGGGAGAACATATTTGCAAATGATACCACTGATAACGGTTTAATCTCCAACATCTACAAACAGCTTATACAACTAAATAAAAGGAAGATAAATAATCCAATTAAAAAATGGGCAATGGACCTAAGTAGAACATTTTCAAAAGAAGACAGAAGGAAGGCCAAAAGGCACATGAAAACATGCTCAAAGTCACTAATTGTCCGAGAGATGCAAATCAAAACAACAATGCGGTACCATCTCACACCGGCCAACATCAACAAATCAACAAACGACAAGTGTTGGCGAGGTTGCAGAGAAAAAGGAACCCTCGTGCACTGCTGGTGGGAATGCAGACTGGTGCAACCACTGTGGAGAGCAGTGTGGAGTTTCCTCAAAAAACTGAAAATGGAACTCCCATTTGACCCAGTAATCCCACTTCTAGGAATATATCCCAAGAAACTAGAAACACCAATCAGAAAGGATATATGCATCCCTATGTTCATAGCAGCACAATCTACAATAGCCAGAATTTGGAAACAGCCTAAGTGTCCGTCAGCAGATGATTGGATCCAAAAACTATGGTACATCTACACAATGGAATACTATGCTGCCATAAAAAAGAAGGAATTCTCATCATTTGCAGCAACCTGGATGGAATTGGAGAACATCATGCTGAGTGAAATAAGCCAATCAATGAAAGAGAAACACCACATGACCTCACTCATTTGTGGATAATAAAGAGCATTATAAACTGATGAACCAAAAGATAGATACAGAGACAGTATATCAACAAGTAGACTGTCAAATTACAGCGGGGAGGGGAGGGAAGATCTGGGGGAGATAATAGATCAACCGAAGGACTTTTATACATGCATATAAGTACAACCAGTGGACACAAAACTCTGGGGAGGGAGGGGATGTGTGGGAGGGAGGGAGGGGGGCAAAAAAAAAATCAATAAAATATATTAAAAAATAATTAAATGAAAAAATAAATAAATAAATAAAAATGAGAAAAAAAAAATTAACCAACACTCTCCTCCACAAGCCATGCCCACCAGCCACACCCACTGGCCAATCAGAGCAAGTATGCAAATAAACCCAACCACAATGGCTACAGCCACAGAGAGCAGGAGGGAGGCATTTCCCCGGCAATGGAGGAAGCCAAGCTTTCCGCCTGCCCTTGCCAGCCTAAGCCTCTACTCAAAACTATGAAGATTCAATTATAGAAGGTAAACTAATCCAAATAAAAACGGCTGCCATCACGGGGCAAGAAAGAAGCTTGGCTCCGCTCTAGACTACCAAGTTTCAACTGTAGAAAGTAAATATATCCCAGATATCAGGGCCTCAGCTTGGGTTGCTGTGGGGTGTGGCCAGCCTGCAAACCACTACAGGACCCTCTCTCAGGCTGCCCCATATTTCAAGGGATCCCCCATCCTGATTCAGAACACCCTTCAGAAGGGCAAATCGGCTGGCCTCCACCTGTGCACCAGGCCTCTATCCTATTTAATAAAAGAGTAATATGTAGATTGTCCATCACTCCAACATACAATATGGCTGCCCTCATGTGGTCAAAGATCCTACCCACAAGTGGACACAAGATGGCCACCAAAAGATAGCCAGCAGGGGAGGGCAGTTGAGAGGGACCAGGCCTGCAAGGGAGGGCAATTGAAGGCGATCAACTCTGCAGGGGAGGGCAGTTAGGAGTGACCAGGCCAGCAGGAAGGGCAGTTAGGGGCAATCAGGCTGGCAGGGGGCAGGTAGGCATCAATCAGGCAAGGGAGTGGTTAGGAGATGATCAGGCTGGCAGGCAAGTGGTTGGGAGCCAGCAGTCCTGGATTGTGATTGGGCCTAAATGGGCAGTCAGACATTCCTTGAAGGGTCCCAGATTGGAGAGAGCACAGGCTGGGCTGAGGGACAACTGCCCCCCACCCCTCCCTGTTGCCCCAGTGAACAAATTTCGTGCACTAGGCCTCTAGTGTGAAATATAAGATATGCATTTAATCAAGAGTCCAATAAGCAGAGATAAGAGAAAATGGGTTTACAAAGTAATATCTGAAGAAACAATGTCTGATAATTTATCAGGAATTATGAAAGACATAGTCCATAGATTCATCAGGTTTAAGAAATCCAAGGAGAATAATTTTTAATTACATTCAGACACATCACAGCAAAACTGCAGAAAATGCAAAACAGTAAAACATTTTTGAAAGCACTCAAAATTGGGGAAAACACATTAATCCTAAATAAAATAACAAAATTTTCACCCAACTTTTCAACAGCAATAAGGGAAGCTGTGAGTAGAACGACACCTTTGGTGTGCTGCAGGAAAAGAATAAAAGTAATAACAGACCAAAGATAATTCCATATTCAGCCTGGCCAGCATGGTTTGGTGGTTGAGCATTGACCTATGAACTACAATGTTACAGTTTGATTTCCAGATAGAGTATATGCCTGGGTTGCAGACTCTATCCCCAGTGTGGGACATGCAGGAGGCAGCTAATCAATGATTCTCATCATTGATGTTTCTATCTCTCTCCCCCTCTCCCTTCCTCTCTGAAATCAATAAAGAAATATATTTTTTAAATAAAAATAAAAAATTGATTTTCCAGACTTCTGTATGACAAAAGGTACCACAAAAACAAAGTTAAAAGACAAGCCAGCGAAAACCGGTTTGGCTCAGTGGTAGAGCGTCAGTCTGCGACTGAAAGGTCCCAGGTTTGATTCTGGTCAAGGGCATGTATGTTGGTTGCGGGCACATCCCCGGTGGGGGGGGTGCAGGAGGCGGCTGGTCGATGTTTCTCTCTCATCGATGTTTCTGGCTCTCTATCTCTCTCCCTTCCTCTCTGTAAAAAATCAATAAAATATATTAAAAAGACAAGCCAGACTGAATGAATTAATAATAAATATTTAAGAATAGCAAGTATCAATTTGAAAAGACAACACAAAGTAAATTGGTCAAACACATGAGCAGGCAAGTACCACTTTAGCCTTACTATACCAGCAAATATTAAGAAGTCTGACAATACCAGGTATTGGTGAAAATGGGGGAAGTGATATTTTCACTTACTGGTAAAGAATATGTAAATTGATTCAAGCACTTTGGAGAGCAATAGCATCAAGTTAAATTTAAGAAGCAAGGCATAAAAAATTCACTTCAATGAAACATACAGGTACACAAAGAGAAATGTACAATAATTTTCACTATAGCATTAACTTTATGGAAAAAAATTGGGAAATAGGTAAGTAAAATAAGAAGAATTTACTATATTTGAACATTATGCCACTGCTGAAGTAAATGAAGAAAATACATCGTTAGCAATATGACTTGAATTAAAATCATAGCATTACCTTTTTAAAATCAAATTATAGATATATGTTATGATTTATCTCTGTATATAATTTGTGTAATTACATAATTATATTTAAAATCATGTGGAAAATATAATTTTGTATTCAGGTATTATAAAGTAGAAAAATAAACTGTAATTACATATACCACAATTATTATAGTTGGGAGAGCATGTTGTCATAGCTTCAAGTTGATCTATTGATCTAGTCTTCATTAAAGAAAAATATTTGAAGTAAACATAACAATATTTGACCTCAACCAAAATGATATATAATAATGTTTTATTATATATTCTATTTTTAAAAAAAAAACCATTTAAATTTCTTAATGTCACACACAATTTTTAAATTATCAACAAACTTTGATCTAGTAACTTCATTTTAAGACATTATATCCTAAAGCAATAATTTGATACAGAAAAACATTCTACTGCAGTTTAATATAAAATAGCAAAGGATTTAATAATAATTAAAAAGTTTCACAATGTAATAGTTATTAAATGCTTTCTCATGTGTTTCAGGATTATTATGGCAACTTAAAACATATATATAATTATAAAAGGATTACTTATTTTAAACAAACGTAGAACTTAAAATTTTAGAAAAGATTAATAAAAATCACCTATTTATTTAACAAATAGTAAATTTAAAAAAAAATTTTATTCTATACAGCATTTATATTGATGTACAAAATAGCCTGTAGTTATACCTATTGCTCACATTGTACAATATTTTCTGAATTCTACAATACGTATAGGCCTACTATTTTAATAATATGAAAAATTTTTAAACTTACTTTGATTTATCACTCCTCTTTTTCTTTTTCTCTTGCAAATTAAACCTCAAGACTTTTTCTTTATAAGAGGGAGCTATTATTCCAAATATATCAGTCACAGGTGATTTCTTAAAAGGCATATTCACAGATCATAAACCTAAAGAGAAATATTAAATTGTATATTAGAATACAAATATATTCCCATTGCCACATAATATAATTCATGTAAATGTATTATTTATGAAAAAGGTGGCAAGAAGGAAATCGGGATGAAGAATGAAATACAATAGTATTAAGGAAATATTTAAATTTAAATTTAAAGTGTCAGACTTATGATTCAAACCCAACTTTGAATCAAAAACCCATGTTCCATATATTGTTACTATTATAAAATTAACATTTCATGTAATATTTAGTCTTTATTGAACTTTACCAGTTTTATTAGTAAAATCATTGAAAGAACAGCATGGCATAGTAGTTAAAAGAATACAACCAGACTGACTATATACTTAACTGCTCTGTGCCTCAGTTTCCTCTCCTGTACAAAGAGAATAGTACCTTTATAGCATTGTTATAAGAAAGCCTATCTAATAAAAGAAAAACATGCAAATTGACCATACCTCTATTATGCCCACAAGCCACACCCACAAGCCAATCAGGAGTGAGTATGCAAATTAATCCAACCAAGATGTTGGTGGCCACAGAGCTGAAGTAAGCAGGAGGCTTGGGTCACCAAGCTTCACTCTGCCCTGGCCTCTGCTCAAGGCTACAAAGTTTCAATTATAGAAGATAAATAAATCCCAGATACCAGGGCCTCTGCTTGGGTCACCAGGGGGTGTAGCTGGCCTGCAAACAACCACAGGCCCCTTGCCCATGCCACCCCATGCACCAAGGGAACTCCCACCCTGATCCGGGACACCCTTCAGGGCAAACCAGCCAGCTCCCACCCATGTACCAGGTCTCTATTCTATTTAATAAAAGAGTAATATGCAAATTGACTGTCACTCCAACACACAAGATGGCTGCCCCCATGTGGACACAAGATGGCCAGCAGGGGAGGACAGAGGGAGGAACCAGGCCTGCAAGAGAGGGCAGTTATAGGCAATAAGGCCAGCAGGGGAGGGCAGTTGGGAGGGACCAGGCCTGCAAAGGAGGGCAGTTGGGAGCAATCAAGCCTGCAGGGAAAAGCAGTTGAGGGAGAGGGGGGGTTTCAGGCCTGCAGGGGAGGGCAGTTTTGGGGACCCAGACCTGCAGGGGAGGACAGATGTGGGGAATCAGACCAGCAGGGGAGAGCAGTTAAGGGTGATGAGACTGGCAGGGCAGGGTAGTTTGAGGGGACCAGGCTTGCAGGAAGGGCAGTTGGGGGTGATCAGGCCAGCAAGGGTGGGCAGGTAGAGGTGACCAGGCTGGCAGGTAAGGGCAGTTACAGGCAATTGGGCCAACAGGGGAGAAGTTAGGCATCAATCAGGCTGACAGCGGAGTGGTTAGGGGGTGATCAGGCTGGCAGGCAGAAGCAGTTAGGGGCATCAGGAAAGCAGATAAGCAAGCAGTTGGGAGCCAACAGTCCTGGATTGTGAGAGAGACATCCCTCAAGGGGTCCCAGATTGAAGAGGGTGCAGGTTGGGCTGAGGCACACACATCCCCGTGCACGAATTTTCTGCACCAGGCCTCTAGTAGATTAATATATGTAGATTGCTAAAATAGCCTGACTCATAAGAAGTTTTACATAAGTGCTTGGATCATTATTAGATTATTATGCTTTCAGTTTTTTAAGGTTACTTATAAATTTCTTTTTATGTCTCCTGTCTTTTTACCATTTAGATTATGCTTTTTCTGCTTGCCCTCATATCCAGATTTATTTTTCTTTTGAAGCATATTTAAGCACGTTTTATAGGTGTGAGACCAAAACTAAGGCACTCTATTTGTGTTTAGTGGGATACTTAAACAGCAAAATAAAATAACAAAATGGGTAGTCAGAATTATATTGAATTATTTTGCATTTCATTTTTAAGATATCTGATTCTTAACACATATCATTATATTAGTCAAGGTTTTGGCAAGAAACGAATGACACACTTAAATGGGGTAACTGAATAAAGAGACTTTCCAATGATGTTGGCAGTTATTTAAATGAAAAAGAAAAGGAAATCTGAGATGGTGTTGTTCTCAGGGGCTGGCAAGAAGGGAGTAAACCATTACCAGTCCCAGGACTCCATTCCAATTGTCTGCCTGTGTTTTCCATTGGTGTGTGACAAGGATTTTTAAAACATGCAGTAACTGACTATTTAGTCAGGTGCACTGACCTTTTTTCCCTTAGATTGCCAAATTTAAAAAATGACAACTATAGTTGTCTGATGTAAATGAATCAAAATTATACCTCTTTTTTTGTCAAATAGGGAAAAAATATATTTTTGTTGTCCCACAGAATTTTAGCAATTAGTTTATGTGCCATGAGATGAAAAAGGTTGAAAATTGCTGAGCTACCCCAAACTAGAAGCTAGAAGGTGTAGGGCAGAGTCCAGAAGAATAGGAAGTAGATCTGGAAGGGTAATGGGAAAATAGCACAAATAAATTATAAACTCAAAACATCATTATCTATTCCTATTAGCTGTAGTAAATTTTGCTTACAATAATCTACATCTATTAGAAAATAAAGCAAAAGTATGTTTAAATATAATGAGCTATGTATAGAAACATCATTCAAAGTGGACCTAACTGTAATATAAGTTATTCTCAGAATATATTCAGGAGTTGTTGCTTTTTTGCATCTGCTGGTAACAGGGTAGATATTTGGACGATCCACTCAAAATGCAAGTTCTATACCACTTTGCTGATAAAACTTTCCCAGATGGGGTGAGTAGAAAATGTCAAATTGCTGTGAAAGTTTATTCATGATTACTTTCAATTTCTGGCTTATTTTAGGATTACTTAACTTGATAGTAATAATGCTAAACCAAAAGTAGTATGTGAAACACTATTTGAAAATATTTTTATATACAACAGAGACAATATGACTCCCTAATGTATTTTATGGGTTAGAACTGAATTTGACTAAGAATAAAAGAAACAAGCCCAAATAATCTCAAGTTTCCCAAAAGAAAATAACAATGTCTTCATAAGTGTTTTTCAAAGAGGTACTGGAATTAAACCCTCAGTGGGATGAACAACAAAAAATAAGATTTTAAATTTCTCCTTCTCCATACCAAAAATAATCAAACTAGAGAACCTAATAATGTAATCAACTTTCACAAAAATTTTCATCTTTTTGTAAGAATATTCTTCATAAAATTCTCAAAACTTAAACCTAAAACTATCAACAGAGTCCAAAACATAAATCAACAGGGAATTATTATTGTTGTTGTTGTTGCTATCTGTAAAGTAGGATCCAGTCAACCTTCATATGACTAGTATTATCATTAATAGTATTACTGTTATTATTACATGTGCAGTCCTGAACCTGATGAAACAGCTCTGTACTGGTGCTATGTCCTAGAAGAGCATTAACCATGCCTGAGGATAGGCAGCCCTGTTTTTAAGGACACTAAGCACTGGTTGGCTGCTCTTAGGGTACTAATGCCATAGGATAACTTAGTAGTAATTAGAAAAATCCAATATTCACAGTACATGAAGGACATGCACATTTTGCCGAAGCATGACTAATCAAACAAGGAAATCTGTATAGTCAGAGAAGGGATTGAATGACCTACTAGCTGAATGACCAATTCAGATCAGGTGGATGAAGTTATTACAGGTGATCTGTATTAAAAGAAAACTGTAAAATGTATTTTTCTCAGAAAATACATCTTCTCCTGGACTTCTTATAAAAAGTAGAATTTTCAGTATTTGTTCTCTCATCCCTCATACACACATACAATGAAACATCAGTGATAAACACATGTGGTCATGAAAATATAGTATGTTCTATAAATAAAAGTATAAACTTAATTGTGAGATAGCTGCCACAGAGATCCAGAAATCCAAGGTCTGAATGAGTTCAGGCTTATTGATGCCATTAACATCATGTATCCCAATATAACTTTATGTGTAGATATATGTTTCCAAGTCTCTTGAATATATATATCTAGGAGAGGAATTGCTGAATCATGTGGTAACTCTATGTTTAATCATTTAAGTAACTGCCAGATTGTTTTCTAAAGTGTCTACACTATTTTAATTTCTCACCAGCAGTATATAAAGGATCAGATTTCTCTACATCCTCACTAAAACATTATATTTTTTATTACAGATATCCAAACAGGCCTGAAGTGGTTTTGATTTGAATTTCTCTAATACCTATTGACTTAATCATCTTTCCATGTGCTTATTAGACATTTGTATATCTCTTTTGAAGAAATGTATATTCAGATCCTTTGCCTATTTTTCATTGTATTGTCTTTTTATTATTGAGTTGCAATGTATAAAAGAGAAAACATTTCTTTTTGCTAAAGGCCATGATACCACATCTAGATTTAATACTTGATCTACTTGGTGTTTCAAACTCTACCAGAAATAGATTTTTAATCAACCAATCTCAATATCAATATCAATGAGGTAACCTGTCATGTGCGCCCTGTCCAACCCTACCCCCTCATAGGCAGAGGAGGCAATCACATGGAAAAATAAAAATAAAAATAAAAATAACCCAGTTGTATATTTCTTTCCCCCTAAAAGAATATGTCTTGATCAGAAAGTCCTTTTTCTTTTAATAGCTCCCTTACCCCACCTTTTTTCCTATGTAAACCATTTATTTGTATAGCTCCTTGGAGCTCCTTTCTAGATGCTAGATGGGATGAATCACTTAATAAAGCCAATTAAATCTTCAAATTTACTCAATTGACTGTTGTTCTTTAGCAAATTGTTCTTATAAGTATCAGATACAAATACCTTTTCAGATGTATGATTTGCAATAATTTTCTTCCAATCTGTAGATTGTCTTTTCACTTTCTTGATGATAGCTTTGAAGAGCTATATTTATAATTTTTTATAAAGTCCATTGGTTCTATTTTTGTTGTTATTGTATGTGCTTTTTGTTGTCCTATCTAAGAAATCACTACCTAATCCATGTTGAAAGATTTATGCCTGTTTTCTTCTAAGGATTTTGTAGTTTTAGCTCTTACATTTAAGGTTTTTTTTATCCATTTGAGTTAACATTTGTATATGGTATGATACAGGGTTCCAACATCATCCTTTTGCATATGGATATCCAATTGTGCCAGAACCATTTGTTGGAAATTTTTTCCTTCATTGAATTATTTTAGCACCCTTATCAAAAAGCAATTCTATTTTATTGAAATCTATGTGTATCATGCCAACACACATTGTCTTGATTACTGATGCTCAGTAGTAATTTTTGAAATTGAGAAATGTGAATCTTCCACTTTGTATTTCTTTTTCAATATTGTTTTTTCTATTCCAGGCCCAAGATAGACTTGCCACGTGAATTTTAGGATCATATTATCAACTTCTGCAGAGACCAGTTAGAATGTCAATATGGGTTGTACTGAACCTGAGGATCAATTTGGGAGCATTGCCATCTTAACAATATAAGGTATTCTTATCCATGAGCCTAAGTTGTCTTTCCATTTATTTTTGCCTTTTTAAATCTCTTTTCAACAATATTTTGTACTTTTCAAAATGTAATTTACATTGCCTTTGTTAAATGTATTCATATTTTATTCTCTTTGATGCTATAAGTGGAGTTTTTCTTAACTTATTTTCTTTTCAGTGTGCTAATTGCTACTGCAAACTGATTTTGTCTATATATCTTACATACTGCAAGCTTGTTAAACATTTTTTTAGATCTACTAGTTCGCAGTAGCTTCCTTAGCATTTTCTATATGCAACATCATAAAGAAAATGTATTTTGTGGAATACAGTGATTTATTATCTCCTAAAAACTATTGTGAAATAAGTTTGGAAAACATTGCATTAAACAAAATTAAAGGTTTGCATAGTAAAGGGCATCTCAGAGTTATTAACATGCTCCTGTGAGATACAAATCTCCCTGAGTTGCAGTAGGATATACATTTGTTGCTAAATTTTACCAGAGAAATCTTTAGGACACTAAAGAGTTCTGGAATCTCATGCACAAAAAATTGGGGGAAATCCTAATTTATAAAACTACAGAGTATTTATTAAGCATTTGTTTCAGGCACTTTACTAGGAGTTCTGGATGAACAATGAATTCCAACAGAGGATCACTTAACCAAATTAACCATGATAATGAATGATTCTGATTATGAACCAGATACTCAAAGGAATATAACATTGTTTATCAAGATTATAAGAGTTTATGCCAAATAGTTCTTATTAAAATAAAAAAATCTAGTACTCACCTTGAACCTAAAGAGTTATTTGAGACATCAAAACAAAGAACATATATACACTGAAGAGGTATGTTTCAGCTGATCAAATGGCTCCAGTAAGCTGTCTGGTGCTTGGCGGTTCTTTAAAAAAAAAAAAAAAAAAAAAAAAAAAAAAAATTCAACATTAATTCCTAGTGTATTTTTGTTAAAGCTCCAGTTAAAATAAGGTTAAAAAAAGTACACTTGTTAATTTTTTTTTTTCCTGAGAACTAGACAATGTTAAAAAGAATTCGCCTATTAAAAGCAATAAGTTCTTCCAATTCTTTCCTTTCCCCAGCACAAAAGCTATTTCTCTATCAGGTGACCTGGTGGCTGACTTCCTCTTTCCTGCCTTCACAGGATGATTTTCACCTTAGATTCTTACGGGCCAGGATGGCTGGCCTGCCTAGGGGCTGGAGTAGTGGAAGCTTCTTCCAACAGCCACAGCTATGGACCCCTCCTCCAAAATATGCTCAGTGATCCTGTGTGGGTTTTTGTGGATCTCCCAGTTGCCCAGGAATGGTAAGTGTGGTGATAACCTTAGCTGAGGTCCTCAGAAACAAAACCTAGCAGTCACACACAAACTCAGCCTCAGCGTTGCTGGGGACCAAGACTGGTTGCTAAGGATGCTACAAGAGCCACTCCTTAGAGCCCGAATGTTGTTCTTTTAGTGTATCCGGACTAGGTTTAACCAATCAGGACCTTTAAGTGCAATTCCACCGTCATTTCCCCACCTTCACCACATTTGGGTTCAATATCAAATGAATAGATGCAATTATACGTGAAAGACCTTTCTTAGCTTTAAAATATAATCATAAAGCACATAGTAATGATTTGGCTTTAATACTATACATATGTTAGCTATCCAGCAGTAGCTGCAGCGAGAATTGGTATGACAGTGCCTGTGTCCCCTCAATGCCTAAATACCTCTACCAAAGCCTCGTCCCCCGAAACACAGTATCTACATTTAAAATTCAAACAGCATATTTATACAAAGGTAGCTATTTCTTTTAACCAAATTGCTGTTCAAAGGCTCCTTTTACATAGAAAATATGTGTCTGATGCAGATAAATAAAATATCCAGGGTGTTCTGTAAGTATTAACCACAAGGGGGCAAATTCAATGCAAAAGAATGACAATTTTTGAAGATAGTATCCATTAATATTTTCTAATTCAAATCCTTAAAAAAATTTTCTACCAAGTGCCAAGCAACTTCAACTTTAAAAATTCCACAAATTTTGAGGAATTCTGATTAACTTTAATTTATAGAGATTGTTAAGTAAATTGCCTTAAAATATTAAGAACTTCAAGACAATTTAACTGATGAAAACTTCAGATACATCAATCCAGAATTGTTTCTGTTCATAACAAGCACCAGGTAAATCTTGTGATTTTTTGGCAAATCTTTATATTTTAAGTAGAAAGTATTAATCCAAACCCATAGAATGTATTGTATAACACCAAGAGTGCACTCTTAAACTGTGAATTTTGGACAATTATGATGTGTCAGTGTAAGTTTCATCAATTTTAACAAATGTACCAAATGGTTGGTTATTGATAATGGGGGAAACTATACATGTATGAGGGAAGGGAGAGCATGGGAAATCTCTATACCTCTTGTTTTGTTGTTGTTGTTTTGTGTTCGTGTGTGTGTGTGTGTGTGTGTGTGTGTACTCAAAGCTATACTAAAATGTAATAAAAATTGAAAATTAATTCACTTTAAAAAGTAATAAAGTTTGAAAAAACAGAAATTACAATATCCAGTCCCAGGTTTCTGTGAAACACATTTCTCTTAAAAGGTCGGTAAATTGAGGATAGAACAAAAATAAAACTAAGAGCTGAAGCCGGTTTGGCTCAGTGGTAGAGCGTCGGTCTGCGGACTGAAAGGTCCCAGGTTCGATTCCGGTCAAGGGCATGTACATTGGTTGCGGGCACATCCCCAGTAGGGGGTATGCAAGAGGCAGCTGGTCGATGTTTCTCTCTCATTGACGTTTCTTGCTCTCTATCTCTCTCCCTTCCTCTCTGTAAAAAATCAATAAAATATATTTAAAAATAATAATAATAAAACTAAGATATAATAGAGAGAACAAAAATATAATTAATATTAAAAAGAATTAGTAGGGAGAAAAGGCTTCTTTGATCTAAAATATGATAAATTTGAGACAATGAATTAAGAGTGCTTATCATATTCCAACTAAAATGTATATGGAAAGAATGTTATATGCATTTAAAAATAGCTTGGTGGACTTTATTTAAAATTTCTTCCAAGAGATCTACGGGAAAATATTAAAAGCATTAAAAATATAAACTATTAAATAGGGTACTCACAAAGGAATAAAAAGCACGTTAGCTAAAATATTCTTCTCCAAAATATAAAAATCAGTCAATTCTACAGAGCATTATTTTTTTTTATATATAACACATGTCATTTCCTTTTTTTACTTAGAAAACAGAATTTTAATGTGAGGTGTCTTAAAGATTTACTACAATGAGTGTTTGTACTCAAAGCAAATATTCTTTAAGATAATAAGGTATTCAGTTTATTTGGATCTTATACTTAAATATATTAAAACAAGTCCTAAGATAAGTAAACCACCACTTAGAATTCTAACATTTTCACATGGTTTCATTGACTATGAAATGCAAAAAGATTATAAATATTTAAGTGACATGATCTGTAAAAATTACACTGATACTACCAAATGATGACAAGACATGAGTAACTATGGAAAGCTATTCTCCAGTACTTGAAAGATTATTTGACCCATCATTTTAGAGGTGGGGGGGAGGAGTACGAGGGAGGGAGATGAGTTAAGTATTAATTAGGAGGCTCTACATGTAGATAAGAAAATTCTAATTAAAGTATCGTAAGACTATTTTAGATGCTTATTTGATATTGAAAAGGTGACCAACTACCAAAAAGTACTTCTCTTCTTCACAAATATCCATATATCAAGAATTTACACAATCTGCCAAAACCGGTTTGGCTCAGTGGATAGAGTGTTGGCCTGCGGACTAAAAGGTCCCGGGTTCAGTTCTGGTCAAGGGCACATATCTTGGTTGCGGGCACATCCCCAGTGAAGGGTTGCAAGAGGCGGCTGGCTGTTCGATGTTTCTCTCTCATGGATGTTTCTAACTCTCTATCTCTCTCAATTCCTCTCTGTGTAAAATCAATAAAAAATATTAAAAAAAAAAAAAAAAAGAAAGAATTTACACAATCTGGCAGTGGGAGGAGGGATGAGGGATAGGAGGGAAAACCTAGAAACATTTTCTTTTGCCTGAGCAAGTACATTTCTAAAAAGAAACTCTGAAGTCCTGACTAAAGGTGTCAGATTGCAATGAGATGCTTGAATTCTTTAACACACTGCTCACCTACCGTGTTTCCCCGAAAATAAGACATCCTCCGAAAATAAGACCTAGGGCATGGAAAGATAAGACATCCCCTAAAAATAAGACCTAGCGCGACTTTGGGAGAAAAAATTAATATAAGACACTGTCTTATTTTCGGGGAAACGGTATTTCATGTAAATTCTGCCTCAATGCAAACTGAATAGGTTTTCCTAATGAAGGGTCTTTACAATCAGCATTTTCATAGCCCATCCCGAAAGTCAGTCTTATTGGTAAAGCTGTTTGAATCTCTGTTTTTAGTGCAATTGCTGTAGAGTGATTGTTTAGCTGACTGTCTTCAAATAATTCTATGCCTTCTGTTGCACAGGATTCAGGTTCTTCTGGCTGGTCAATGGACAATGGTGCTGTGGATGCTACATCATACTCAGAAATTTCAGGTAAATTACTTTTATCTGCCTTTTCACTTTCAGCAGCCCATTTGCTTGCAACCCCAAGTTCTTTTGCAGTTAGCCTACTGGGTTTCTCTAACATTTTTGATGAAGGAACACTTGAAAAGCTTGAGGGTGAAGTGTCTGTCTCTTGATGTTTTCAAAGACTGAATACACTGAGTGGCCATAGTATTATGATCTCTGAATGCATAATAATCTGGTCACTCAGTGTGAGTGTGTGTGTGTGTGTGTGTGTGTGTGTGTGTGTGTGTGTGTTAGAGGCCCTGTACATGAATTCATGCATGGGTGGGGTCCAGACAGCCTGGCCAGGGGGATGGAACATGGGTGGTTGGCTGACCTATTTGCTGGTCGAACTCCTGTTGGAGGGGACAATTTGCATATTAGCCTGCCGGAAACAGATCATTGTGTCACTAATAGAAAGATGTAAAAGGCTGGTCAATCTTGAAGCTCTGAAAGGTCAGAGTGAACCACTCCCGAGGCAACTTCCCCATTAAATAATCATGTAAATCCTTACTGATATGATAATCCACTTATTACCTAAGGGCTATGGGTGTATCCCAAACCTGCTTAAGGGTAATGGGTGTATCCCATAGTCTCAATAAAAGGGGTAGCAAGGCCAGAGCCTAGTGGTAGTCCCCCAACTAGAGGTGGGGTCCCGTCTGACCTCCCATATCACCAAATTAAATATTTTTAAATTTAATTTAAAACATTTTTTAATTTAATTAAATGAAAAGTCTCTTTTCATTTGTGTGCCGCTTTCTCCAGAACCCAAACCCTGAACCGAAACCCTGAACTACACGGGTAGTGAAAGGGGCTCCCACATTAGCCTTTTATTATATAGGATATACATCAAGTGGCCAGATTATTATGTGTTCAGAGATAATAATCTGTCTGCTCAGTGTAGGTCTCTCTTTACTTCTATGTTGAGACTGATGGAAAGAGTTAAGTTTTACTTCTTTCTGGAGAGTAGCTTCTACTACTGACACTGGAGCCAGATCTGCTGGGTGGAGAATCCTTTCTTAATGACCAATCTTTACACGATGTAAAGCTTAGAAACTTTTTCCTCTAAAGCCATCTCTTTTGTCTCTATATTCAGGCTGACAACTTCCAGAATGATAGCCTCTTGTTCATATAACCATTATCCCTTTACATTTCACTTTTATGACTTACCTTTTCATGTCCTTTGCTCACATTTCTACTGATTTCCCTTTATTGGTAAGAGTTCTTTTTCTTTTCTTTTTTCTTTTTTACAAAAATGTTAGCCATTGTCTAAATCATATTAAAAATGTGACATTTCCAAATTTATGACTCGTTTTTCAATTTTGATTAAAATGGTTTTTATTTATTTAGAAATTTAAATGTTCTATGGTCAAATTGATTAGTCTTTCCTTACATGGCTTTTTACTTTATTGTCACTTTTAGAAAGTTTTTCAATCTATTTGAAAAATATTCACCTTTTATTTTTTTCTATATTAAATATTTTTTTAAAGGGAAAAGTACAATATATTAGAGCTGGAATTTATTTGGGGATAAATTGCAAGATGGGGCCATTATTGTTTTCCCCCTCAACTGGCTACCCAGTTGTCTTCCTTTTCATAATCCATCCTTTCTTCACTGATATGAATGTTGAAGTAAGGTAGCAACCATACTTAGGTAAAAACTGCTGTTTGAATTTTAACCCTGCTGTTCTGGCTTCAGCACTCCCTCACTTGCTTAAACAATAGGGTAGTTGCCTCAGCTTCCAGATTGAGACCTGGAAGCAAAGCAATTTTCCCGTGCCTGTGGGCCAGGACCTCAGCAGACTGATTCCCACTGACTCAGTAGCTTCAGGGGTAGAAACTGTAGATAACCTTTAGAGATTACTAACTCTGCTTGATTCTGCTCCTATAAAACTTGCTTTGGCAAGATAGGGCCACATTCCAACGTCTCGAAGGATGTGGCTGGGACTGATCCTGCTGGCTGTTCCCAGCATTTAGAATTTAAAATTTAGAACAAAGGAAAATGTTTGTGGTTTAGACCTTTAAAAGGACTGCCTACACCTGGAACCGCGAGGTCCATGAGTGTGGCCTCCACCTGCGTGTGTTGCTCTTGGGCCAACCTGAACTTATTGAACTGATTAAGTCCTTGCCTGGTTTTTTTTGTTTGTTTGTTTGTTTGTTTTTTTACCAATTAGCAGCCTCCGTGGTCTTATTTTTGACTCCAGGTTCGACCCCACAACAAATGTAAATTATAAGATGCCGTTGCTTTCATATTAAAAGCATACACACACACACACACACACACACACACACCTTTTCCTCCTCCTTTTAATAAATAAAATTTTGGATCTGAGCTAGTCCCATCTTTGAGCCAATATTCCTAAGGAACAGAGAAATATTTTTTATTGCCATGTCCTGTAATTAATATTGGTTACATAGTAACTTGGTACTGTACTCAAGGAATATTGGTTACACATTTTAAGGGAAAGACTACATACATTTTGCCCAAGCCCCAACAAGAATGTCAATCCACTTAAGACGAACTTGGTTATCGCTTTAAATAAAGGTTCCCTTCTAGAAGATTGAGAACAGTGCGTCAGGGTTCTCTTCTGAAAGCCCTCGGAATGCTGGGCTCCGGTGGGGGGAAGGGACACAGGAAGAACCCATGGTAGGCTCAGTCAGATCTATGGACAGGGACTCCGCCTGAGGAGCCCTTGGAGCTGATGAAAACAGGTAGTGGGGTCATTTTAATTCAACTGAGGTCTTGATTTTTTTTAAATTATAAATACCCTGAGTGATGTAGATGCAGCACAAAATACCTACAGAAGACGGTTTGTGGGTATTTTGTGGCATAAGAAAAGCAAAAATGCTTCATTTCCTTAAGTCCCTGAGAGTAGTTTATGTTGGCGGTGAGGAGCCGTAGGGGACAGAAGAGGGGGTTCTCTCCCTGCACCTTCCTTTTGAACGCTTACCTAGGCGGTCCACATCCCCTCTGGGCTCCCGAGCCGACCTTCTCTTCATTTTACCCAAAATGCCAAGGGCGGGAGGCAGCGTTAAATGTAACGGTAGGAATACCCCGCCCCTCGCACCTGAGCAGCTCCCCTGCGGCAGGTGCGGCACCTTTTTTGATGAGAAAAAAGACCGAGATCGGAGGCCTTTGCCTGCTGAAGAGGGACGTTCAGGCTGAGATCTCAGCGAGTCAGATCCCGCGAGGCCTTAGTTACCATTTCCCTAGGAAACGCCTTTATTCGACCTTCTCGGATCCAGGTCGTACCACCGTCCATCCCTGTTCCCTCAGGGCACTTCTTTGGTAAAGTGTTCCCTTAACTCCCGCCGCCTCCCCACTCCCTCCTCCCTAAGGGTGGCAGTTTGAGGGTGGGCTCCGGATTACCGAATCGTCTCCCTAGCAACCGCGTCCCCGAAGACCAGACCGCCGGAAAGGGCTATGATCACGTGCCCCGTGAACTTCCGGAGTCTCAACGTGACTTCCGGTTGTCAGTTTCTCCGGGCCCGGTGGCGGCGGCCGCGGTGGAGGAAGAGCAAGAGGAGGAGGAGGAGGAGGGAAAACCGCACGGCCCCAGTGGTGGTGGGCTCCAGAGGGCTCGCCTCGCCCTGCCCGGTCTGCGATGCATCCGCGGCGCCCGGACGGGTTCGATGGCTTGGGCTACCGCGGGAGTGCACGGGACGAGCGCGGCTTTGGCGTGGCCTTCCCTGCAAGGTCTTTCAGCTCCGGGCCGGAGCTGGGCCACTGGGTGACCACTCCCCCGGACATCCCCGGGAGCCGCAACCTGCACTGGGGCGAGAAGAGCCCGCCCTACGGCGTGCCCGCCCCCGCCACCCCCGAGGGCCCCGCGGAGGAGCCCTTGCCCGGCGGCGGCGGCGGCGGCGGCAGCAGCGGCGGCAGCGGCGTGCCGGGGCCGAGCACGGGTGAGGGGCGCCGGGGGCCAGGCCCGGGTGTGGGGATCGGCAGGGTGGCGGCCTGCGGACCCCAGACGCCGCGCTGAGGGTCCCGCCTTCAGGGCCTCGGGGCCTGATCGCGTGCCACACCCAGCGCCCTCCCTGTGTCCTCTGCCCTTGAAGTGGGCCTCCTCTCTCTTCCTCACACAACAGATGTTTTCTCCGGGGTGACTTCCAAAGAAACAAGACATCTGCCTTAGCTAATTAAGTGGGCGCTGTATTTACTTGATGTGATTAATTGTAGCTTTGTGTTCTGCAGAGGTTTTTTGTTTTTATTTTTGTTTTTGTTTTTTTCAGTATGGACAGGCTTGGGCTCAAACCTGGCTCTACCTATATTAAAAGCTCAGAAACTATGTCAACGTCTGTGAGCCCTCCGTTTTCTCATTTTTAATGTGGACAGAAGAATATCAGGGGTTTTAAGGGTTAAATAAGAATGCACAGTACACTGTGGAGCACCTAGTAGGTTAAAAATAATTGTCTTCTTCCTTTCCCCCTTTTAATTATAGGAGTTGAGTCTGTTTTCTAAATCCCAAAATACCCCCTGGCATCAAACCCCTTTTTGGTAGAAGAGAAAATGTTTATACTTCCCATTTTCTTCTTAAAGACTTAATGGTAATATCAAATTGAGCCTCACTCATATTAAATGATTCACTTGAAATACATAAAGTTATAATTTTATTCTTATTTTTAATGAACTGACGTAACACTTTCTACTGTTGTGAATTATAGATCCTAAATTCAGGTATCCCATGGGAACTCTGTAAAGATTTATGGAGTTGAGAAATATACCCACCTTCTGCTTTTTTTTTTTTTCCTGACCCAAAAATTCCACTAACAAGCAAAAATCACTGATACAGTTTCAAGATAAGGCTTTAAATTCAAGACATACGATAATTCTTTGCAAAGGATTGTCAGAAAATCTGTCTTTTAATTGCAATACTTGTGATTTAGATATTCTCAACAACTTTTTTTATTCATAAAATGGAAATAATGGCACCCTCTTCCCATTCTCCTGAAATTGTTAGAAGAGTAGATTATATTAAATATAAATGTAAGCATATTTATCATTGAATATAAAACGTAAGTATATTTTAAACATCAGTTTTATCCTCATTTCTTCCATTTTGACTTGTAGGTATAATACGATTTATTTGATTGGGGATAGCTAGGAGGAATAGACTTTAAATGCAGTATGATGAGCAAATGATGTGGAGGCGATCAGTGATTTAATGTCATGCAATTAGCGTGTTCACTCTGTTTTGTTTTCTTTCTGTCGATCCCAAGAGGAGTACTGGAAATTTTAAATGAAAGTAATTCAAAATGAGTATATACTGGCTACATAGTTACATTCTTAGGCAGTAAAGTTTATTTTTTCATAATTTATGTTTTGATGGTTACAATGAAGAGGAGCTCTTAATGTAACTAGGGCTGTTGTTTTTAGCAGCAGTAAGAGGCTGGTGAGACTACTGGCAAGGTTGGATAGAAGCCTGAGATCATTATACAGTTAACAATATTAAACCTTCCTAATACCTTCCAGAAAATATGGTATTTTTTATTACTATTAGGGGATGATCAGGACATGCAAAAAGGGGAAAGAAATGAAAGGAGGATAATGCCTTCACTGGGGCAAAGAAAAGCTATCTTGCTTGTACGTTTTCCAAAATAAGGGTGAATCAAATAATATCCTCAGATACATGTTTACATGGCCTTGTTCTGATTGTAAGGAAATTGTGGGTTGCTTCATTTAAAAGAGCAGAGATGAGAGATGGAAAGATTGAGGAAATAGGACAAGAGAGGAGAGAGAGAAGAGATTGAGAGCCCTTTATTTCCAGTTTTGATTATTCTTTCAATTTAATAATTTCGTGGTGTTGGTTTAACATAAATACTCTCTACCACTAACAGTGAATGACTAATTTTACAATATGGGAGGTAAAAGTTATTGGTATATGTATCAGAGCTTTCTACAGAAAAAAATTGTATGTTGTTTCCAGTCAGAAGTTACAAACTGGTAGCCCATAGATTCTACCTGCAGATATGCTTGATTTGGCCCACATAGTGTTTTAAAATAGTTACCAATATTTTTTATTGAAAGATAATACATAAAAATAATATATTTTTTAAGAAAAGTCGCAGCTTAGAAATCAACCCTGAGCCCACCACAGTCCCACATTGCAACAATGAATTGGAGCTGAAGAGCAGTTGTGCCTTACAGCTTGCCACAAACCTAACAGAGTTCTTCACTCATTCAAATGACTTCCCTGACCCCTATCAGAATTTGACTTGGGGACCTGGAGTTTAAATGAATATCGTGTAAATAAAAGAAAATATTTTTTGTTGTTTTTGCAGTAAATCTAAGTATTGATTATGAGTAATCTTATTTCTTCTATTTTAGAACAGTTGAGTAGATTTGCTGGATTTGGTATTGGACTTGCAAGGTAATGTTTTATCTAAATTTTAATTTTTATTTATAGTTTTTAATGTTATAAATGATTAATAATTTCCCTTTAGATTGATTCTTTGTAGTAGGGGTGTCGAACTCAATCAGAGAAGGGGCCAAAATCTAAAATCCAGCCTAAATCGCGGGCCGAATGGTTTACTGAGCAGTCATAAACTGTCATTGTGATGGAAACGCAGCAGAGTGCAGTGATGACAGTGCGGTGCGGGCCACATTGCAAGGCCTGGCGGGACGGATTTGGCCCGCGGGCCTTGTGTTTGACACATGTGCTTTGTAGCAATAGATTAAATATTGAATAATATTTTGCAGAGAAAATTATTTAAAATTTATAAGTTTAATTTTTTCCCTCAGTAAGGATAGAGGATAGCCATTACATTTTATAATCACAAAATAATTTTGTAAGGAATATTGTTAACATCTTCCATATGTATCTTTCTAAAGAATAAATCAATTCTAATCTTGATTCTTCTGCTCCAAAAACCAAGTAATTTTACATTGAATCTTTTTTAAAAATTGAATCATAACAAGATATTTAGCAACAAGGAGTCTAGGTTTCAGTTATAATCAGCATTTAATGAGCATCATTTTTATTTTTTGTTTTTAATGATTATTTTGTATTAGAAAAACCTTTAGTCTTGATTAATGTGACCTTTAGTGAATACTGTTTCAAAAATACTGGAATTACACAAAGGCTGACATATGTTAACGTAAGTCATTGTTTTAAACATTTTAATCAAGAAAAAATGATCTTATTAGAACGATTAAACTTGAGGATGTTAATGTCAATAGAAATAAAATTTGTGTAATAACATTTTCCTTGTGCTAAAGTTAATTTTTCTTCAGCCTCATCATTTCTACTTTAAAGTCATTATCGTCCTATATAATAAAAGCCTAAATATGTTAAGTGTCTGACCGTTTGTTCAACCATTTGACTAGTTGCTATGATGCGCACTGACCACCAGGTGGCAGACGCTCTAACCTGTAGGTAAGCTTGCTGCTGGGGTTTGGCTGATCGGGACTGGATGAGAAGGACCAGACACACTCTGGAACCCTCCCTGGTCCCATCCTGGCCAGCCAACCTCCTACAGTCTCTCCACAGCTGGCTGGCTGGCCCTGATCAGCCCTAATCAGGACTGAGCAGGCGAGGCAGGCTGGACACGCCCTGGAGCTTTCCTGTGGTCCTTCCCTGGCTCCAATAATGCACCGGTGGGTCCCTCAGCCTGGCCTGTGGGGATCGGGCAGAAACCGGCTCTCCGACATCCCATGAGGGGTCCCAGATTGAGAGAGGGTGGTTCTCAGGTGACGCACCCCAGAATCTGGTTCCCTCCTCTCTAGTTCCGTGTGCATCACCTAAGAACTACAGCTGCCAAGTCACCACAGCTGGGCAGCTCCTGCATTGAGCATCTGCCCCTGGTGGCCATTGCATGTCATAGCTACTGATCAAAGCATCTGCCCCCTGGTGGTCATTACGCATCATAGCTACCAGTCAGTGGCTTAGGCATATATATATATGTTAAAAAGGTAATATACAAATCGACTGAATGGCAGAAGGACCAGTTGCCATGACACGAACTGACCACCAGGGGGCAGATGTGCAATGCAGGAGCTGCTCCCTGGTGGTCAGTGGGCTCCCACAGGGGGAGCGCCACTCAGCCACAAGCCAGGCTGACGCCTGGTGAGTGCAGTGGTGGCGGTGGGAGCCTCTACTGCCTCTGCAGCAGCACTAAGCATGTCTGAGTCGGCTCTGGGACATCCCCTGAGGGCTCCCAGACTGCTAAAGTACTCAAGCTAGGCTGAGGGACCTCCCCTGCTAAGTGCATGAATATTGTGCACTGGGCCTCTAGTATAGTGTGTGTGTGTGTGTGTAGATGTGTGTATACACAAGCAGGCATGTGTTACTGTTAATATTTAAGCCTCAGTCGTAATTAGTTGGTGGGGAATATTTTGAGAACTATTTTGTACCTAAAATACTAACCATGATCATTGAACTCTCTATAACTTCAGTGCAAAGTATATCAAAAACAAAATTTATAGAATGAGATTCATGAAAAATAGATGGCTCTTCTGATGGGAACTTTGTACATAGGACATCTGAAATAATTAAAAGGGGCATTTGAATTTTCTAGGAAAGGAGTTTCCCATATTAATACAGAAATGTCATTTCATCTTTATATTATACATGTTAGTATTATATATTGTTTCCCTTGATTATCTGTTTCCAAATCTGGCTTTAATTCTTTTCATATTGAATTTTGTTACTGGTACAGTGATTTGCAAACATGATATTTTTAAATTGTTTTTTGATTCTTCAAACAAATGATTTTGGAAACGTGTATGTTATAAATTTTAGCTATATTACATACATTTATAAATTATTCTTATGTAGTCTCTTTACAGAAAATGTACTGGCTCATCCTTGCATTGTTCTACGCCGCCAATGTCAGGTAAATGTACTTCCTATGAAATAATCCCAACCCTGATTTGAAGTACATGTGTCTCCAGTGAGAAGGGGCTGGACTATGTGCTGCATCCTAATACTTTTAAAAAATTATTTCACCTAAGTATTGGTTCTGACCCTCCTTACTGATTTTATGATTTACTAATTGTTTATAGCTTATAGTTAGAAAAACACTAACCATTGGGGGACACATAACTCCTGTTCCCTGAGATCTTTGTGGTTCCTTAATGCTCTGCCACACTAAATGTAATTTGACTATTTAAGGAAGCATAAATACCAAACCAAAAGGCCATATTACGTATGCTATATTATTGTGTATATTGTGCATTGATCTTTAGGGTTGTATTTATATAACCGTATGTATTTTACTTTTAATAAGTTATTTAAAGCACTTTTAAGAGTAATTTTGCTTTGCTAATGTGTAATTTATGATGACCTTAGAATTGAACTTTTGTTTATAATGTGACTCCACAGTATTTGTTTCATACCCTTGCTATTTTTTACAAAACAATAATAGAAAATAATTATGAAATATATATATTTTACAGGTTAATTACCATGCTCGGCAGTATCATCTCACTCCATTTACAGTCATCAATATTATGTACAGCTTCAATAAAACTCAGGTGAGAATTAGTATATAGATTTTATTAAAATTATTTATGTGTCATTTTGTCTTAGTAATAATTAAAGCAACAGTAATTTCTTATAATTTAGTTAATAAAAATATCTTAACTCTTGTACTAAAACTAATGTAACATGATAAGAGCATCTTTTTGGTGTTACTGAATAATCAGTGAATTTACACCTTTGCCAAAATTAATTAAATATTAGGGGTATTTAATCAGTATTGGAGATAGTTAATTGGAATGTTCATCGTGGCCTAAACGTAGGCTACCAACAAATATTAAAATAATATTAGAAATTAATTTAGTAGTAATTTTCCACTAAAATGTCCTTTTAAATAATGTCTCATTGGAAATATCAATAAACATTCAATATCAAGTTTTATTAAGTCCCTTTTTTTTTGGTGTTTCTTACTTAGCAATTAAAAATAACAATAATTTTTGTTTATTGTAGGGACCAAGGGCCCTTTGGAAAGGAATGGGAAGTACATTTATTGTCCAGGGAGTCACACTTGGAGCAGAAGGAATAATTAGTGAATTCACACCTTTACCAAGGTACCTTTTTGGCATTTTATCAATATTAATGTCATTAAAAATAGAACAAAGTGTGGTAATTTCTAATACCTTGAATTTAAAAACTTGACTTTAAAAACTGAAGTAGCTAAGAGAAGAAATAGAAAATAAATTTAATTGCTATCTTAATTGAATTAGCATATGATAAAGAAAATGCTTCCTGGTATAGTATTTATTGAAATATATGTCTTTCATTTCCTGCTGCTGTGTGTCAGCAAGCAGTGTTTCCCAAACTTTTAACATATGTGTACCCCTTCTATAATTTTCGTAACGCTGAATACCCCTCATACTCATGAGAACGTAGAATTAGGCGCAGCTAAGCACGGTGCAGGCATATCCCCTCCAAACTCCAGTGCAAAGCGTACCCCCACCAAACTCTTCCCGTACCCCTGGGGATATGCATACTGCACTTTGGGAAACACTGAATTAGGGAATAAACACAAGTATGTGAGCAATTCCTGCTCTTTAAGTCACTAGTTGATGAAGGAGACACATGTAAACAAATTACAGTACATCATTATGTGTGCTGCAATTAAACCCCTTTCAGAGTCCAGGGGACACTTTGCATAGAGTTACTGTTAGGATTTCAAAAAAGAACTGAAATCTGAGCTAAGTCTTGATTTATGGGCAGGAATTGACTTGGCAGAGAAGGAGAGGATTCAGAGTAGAGGTGACAGCATGCCCATTGGAGATTGGAACATTTGGGTAGTAAGTGTCTTATGCTACGAATAGTGGGCATGTATGGAGTGGAATAGAGGGAAAGGGGTTAAGATGTTAAACTGAAGCATGGCACTGCCTTTGTAAGAGATTTAGGTTATTCTCTGTGGGATTGGGAATCGAAGGTGTTTTTTGTCGTTTCTTTTTGTTAACATGGGTGATTTGATCAAGGATAATATTCAAGTGATGTTGTGAAGAAAAAAAAAAAGACCAGTGTAGACTGAGACTTGTGCAGAACTGTCAGTAATCTAGGCCAGATTGAGAAGGGTTTAAACTCTGGATAGAAAACGATGAGCTGGAGAGACATTTCAGAAGAATAACTGGTGATATGTTGGGAATGGGCATATGAGAGAATGAATTGTCATCAGTGACTGAGATTTCTAGATTAGAATCAAGTTGAAGAATTCATGAAAGAGAATAAGTTGGAATTGGGAAAAAAGATAAGGAATTTAACCTTCAATAGATGATGTTTGAGATTTCTGCAAGACATCTAGGGGGAACATGTCTTTAAGTAGTTGGAAACATGGGACAAAGTCTTTAAAAACATTTGAAGCTGCAGGCATAGCTTTGAATGTAGTGGTATAAAAGTAGCATTTGAAACATTACGATGGATGAATTTTCAAAGGTGTTAATGTAGACTAAGTGACAGAAAGTGGACCAAACACAGAATCCTGAGCAGTGTGTGAGTGCACACGTGTGTGCCATGCCTGAATGTGTATTAGGAGAGGTAATTGAGGGGAGTAATAGGAGATGATCACAAAACTCATCGAAAATAGCAGCATACTGTAGGACAATAGTGTCATCGAAGCCAAGAGAGGTGAATTGGAATTGTTAGATACATTTGGAGGAAGAGGGTAGAGAAATTGGGTAAACTTATTTCTGCACTTATTTTTCTCCCTGGAACAGGATACAAGGTCATTAGGTGAAAGAAGAATGAGGAAAAGCATAAAAAGAATAAGTAACCTAGGTTCTCAAACTTAATATGTTTCTGAAGGCTGTTAGAAAACTGAATCATGTTTTCCCATAGAAATAATGTAAATCGAATTAATCTGTTCCAGACCCCCCAAATGATTCCCTGTTTTAACTTTTCTTATCTATAGTACATATTTAATTACTGTTTAATCTATAAGTAAACACTTTAAAAACAAAAAGAACATTAAATGTAAGTGAAAATTTAACAACAAAAAAAAGAAAATTTTCCTATTAAAAAGCAGCCACAACAAAAAATATTCACAGTATAATTTCCTGAGATGTTAACGTGAGGTTTTTCGGTAAAATGACTTATACTCATGCATTCTCTCCTTCGTCACCTAAGAGATCCGTGACTGATTATATATTGTAGGTATCATCATGAAAGGGCTGTTGGTTTGAGAAGTGAATTGATCAAGATGGGAAATATTCAAGAACCAGGTTCAACTGTATATGTTTGGGACAGTCACAGCTACTAAGTGTAACAGAGGGGGAACCTTACTAGGGATATATGAAAGGAATGTTAATAGGTAATATTGGAAAGCATAAATTTGTGTTAAGTGCTATTTGGTAGGAGTCTGTGATTTCCGCTATCAACACTAGATTCCAGAGACAGCATTAAAGATTGAATGGTTTGCTAATGTAATTGTAGTGATAGAAATATATTTATTAGCCTTAAAAGGTACTGAGGTGATTCATCTTAGTACAGTGTAAAAAAAAATTTTTTTTGAATGGTTTGTTGACCCATGGCAGGTAAATTTTTGGGGTTGACAAGGAAGTGAAGTAATTGCACATAGAGCCAACTGACATCTCATTCTTGGGATTCAGTCTTTTATAAGGAAGAAAATGAAAACAGGCAAGACTGGTAGTAGGCTTTTTGCCAGTGTTTGCTTTTAAAGAACTGTATAGTCTTGACGGTCTTGAAGTTCTTTTAAAACAGCTTTGCTAATTGTTACAACAAGACAAAATATTTAGCCAGCGACAAGTTTCCCATCTACTTTAAAAATCTCAATTTATGATGTTGGCTAACTTTATTCACCCTATTGCTTTTTATATCACAGGATAAAATGAAAAGTTAGTTCTTGAAGTCCTGCCAGAAACACAAAAGTTATATAAAAATTTAACAAATTTCAGGAATTTCTGTATGGTAAAATATAAAGAATTCTGCATTTGCAGTCAGACACCATTGGTCTTGCCTACACCACTTTTTAGTTCTGGGAACTTGGGCAAGTAATGACACTTCTCTAAAGCACAGGTGAAGTAGTAACTTTCACTCCAGGTTGAGAAGAAGGAAAAAAGAAATGGGAAGGCACAGAATTTTATCAATCTTTCTCATTCTGTAGATACACAGACACATTAGATTATGTGGACATTTTGAATCATATTTAGGAAGACATAAGAGGTTACCTTTGTTGTATTTTATCTGGATAATTTTGGTAATACATCCCACTCATTAATTAACATATTTAGCCGAAACCGGTTTGGCTCAATGGATGGAGCATCGGCCTGGGGACTGAGGGGACCCGGGTTCGATTCCGGTCAAGGGCATGTACCTTGGTTGCGGGCACATCCCCGGTGGGGGGTGTGCAGGAGGCAGCTGGTCGATGACTCTCTCTCATCGACGTTTCTAGCTCTCTATCTCTCTCCCTTCCTCTCTGTACAAAATCAATAAAATAAATAACATTTTAAAAATATATTTTTATTGATTTTACACAGAGAGGAATGGAGAGGGATAGAGAGCTAGAAACGTCGATGAGAGAGAGACATCGACCAGCTGCCTCCTGCACACCCCCCACCGGGGATGTGCCCGCAACCAAGGTACATGCCCTTGACCGGAATCGAACCCGGGACTTTTCAGTCCACAGGCCGACGCTCTATCCACTGAGCCAAACCGGTTTCGGCCATATTTATTTAATTTACTAATATTTTCTGAGCACCTACTATGTTCTAGGAACTGTACTAGAAATCAGATATACAATGAGAAGAAGAAACAAAAGGTACCTTAGGTCTAGTATAAGGGACATACATTAAGTAAAATAATCCCACTAATGAATAACTAAGTACCAATTGAGATTGTTGCGGAAGAAAAAAAATATGGTTCTGTGAGAGTATTAAAGGGTTAGGAACAGTGTCAATAATAAAATGACACGTGTTGGTGTAGATTATGTATTAAACATGTACATTCGTCTATCACGTGGAAGGAATACCAGTGCCTGATGGCTGCTGAAAGGACAAACAAGTTGCCAATTAAAAACTGCACTGGACTTAGTATCATGAAGGTCATGGGAACTTGGCAAGAACTGTTTTTGTTGGAATAGTTGGGTAGAAACCAATTTGGAGTACATTTAGAGGTGAGTGGGAAGTTAGGACATGGAAATAGCAAGTTTAGAAAGTTGGCTTCGATGAGAGATGAAAAAAGTAGCTGAAGGTGAGAGGTTTGGGTTGGCTTGAGGGAAGATTTTTTTAAAGAGGGAATCTATTTGAGCATGTGAAATGAGAGGCAATGGAAATTAAAGACTGCTTAACTATAGAGTTATTTAGACAGTGGGGAGGAGGGGGACAGGGCAGGCTAGAGAGGATCAATGGGGAGGGAAGAAAACATGTTAATATTAATATGTTCAACAATAAAGTATTTAAAAAAACAGAAAAATAAAAATTCTATTGTTTTGTGTAGATTATGCATTAAGTAAGACACTATTAAATAGAAAACTTTTGAAAAAAAACAAGTCACTTCTCTCAATTTTGTTGCTTGTTTGAAGGGTAGTTTTTGCTTGTGAAAACTGATTTAAATGTATTTAACACAGGTTTTGATATTTAATAATGAAACATAAAAAGGTTTAATCAAAGTAGGTTTCTACACTACCCTCTTTCCTGAAGCACTTACCGTATTTTTCGGACCATAAGACGCACTTTTTTCCCCCCAGAAGTGGGGGGAAAAAGTCCCTGCGTCTTATGGTCCAAATATAGCCTACACATATACTTTAAAAAAAAAGTTTTTTTACTTGCCCGGCTCTGTGTGGTCTCTGTGTGCTTGCCCGGCTCTGTGTGCTTGCTGCAGCCACTGTCCATTCCTCCGTGCCCAGAGTGTCTGCCCCGCTCTGTAAACCCCGAGTGGTAGAGGAGTTCCCATGTATGGTAGTCAGCCTCCATGCCCTCGCTGCAGCCATATCTCCATGTCAGCCCAGGTGCGGTGTACGGTAACTGCGTAATCCAAACCGTAATCATCGCCTGTACCCCTTGCTGGCCCGTACTCTGTGCCCGGAAGAATGCCGCGTCTATTCCCCCAATCCAGGGGTCCTCAAACTTTTTAAAGTGGGGGCCAGATCACGGTCCCTCAGAGAGCTGGAGGGCCGGACTATATGAACTACTAATTCCTACTGTAACACCTCGGCTGCGCTCACTGCCCAAAAAACCTGGCGGGCCGGATCAGACTCCTCTGCGGGCCTCATGTGGCCCGCGGGCTGTAGTTTGAAGACACCTGCCCCAATCATTCCTCTCCGCCCTCTGTTGCCGTGCTTGACTACTGGGTAGGCGTACTGTAGATCTCCGCCCACCAGTAAACTCCGCCCTCGGCTGGATGCCCTGATTGATAACACAGCTACGTCAGAATTTCTCTTCATACTATTATACCGGTAACTGTCAAAATGTTTGTACTGCAACAAACTTCATACCGGTATATTGTATGCAGAGACTTTCTGTGATACCAAACCAATAACATTTACCATAATGTAAAACACTCTCCAGCCTCTTCTCTCACCACTACAATGCGTAGATACCCATAAACTATGCAAAGAAAGCATAGAAAGTCTCTGCATGATTTATGGGTTTACACATTGTAGTGGTAACACTGAATTTTTTGTTTCAGAATCTTTTTTTCTTCATTTCCCTTCTCTAAAAACGTGCGTCTTATGGTCCGGTGCGTCTTATGGTCCGAAAAATACGGTAATTGTGCTAATTTAAATTTCTAGAGCTATGGCAATAAGTTTTACTCATTTTATAAAGGAGTAGAGAATAGATACAAGGAAGAAAGTCTTAATTTTTTATAATTCTAAATTTCATTTTTCTCCCTTTTACTTTAATAATCTTACCCTAATAATTAGTTTTGTATTCAAAGGGAAGGTGGTCCTGTCCTTTCAGAAACATGCCACAGATTCATCTGTCCATAATGTTAATAACAGTTTCATGCTTCAAATCAGTGTCATAATGGCCTTGAAAAGAGTAATAGTGCCCAGATGATTGGCAGACCGTGAAGCATTTTTTTTATAATAACAAAGTCACTGTCAGTAAGATGAGATGCCTAATTTTTATTTTTTTGTATTTTTCATCTTAATCATTAAATATCATTTCGGCTTTATTTTTCTGTGGTTATTCAGGCCTATAGTATTCCAGTATTAATCAGAATGTGACCCAGAAGGTTCTCTAGGGTCTTATTAATCAGAGAAGATTATTCTATTGTCTAAAAATTTCTCTGCAGACTTCTCAGTCTCTTAGAAAAAATGTAGGAAAGTTCACATACCACCCGTGCTATAATTGTACTGAGTCTGTTTTTAGAGCACTTACATTATTAGTGATTAATTATCTTTGCCTTTTTAATGTAAAATATATTTATTTCTTTATCTCCTTATGATTCTTATATTCGCTTATTTGAAATAGAAAATGTTTTTATCAGTTTCCTGCTGTGGCTATTGGGCAGTGAGTGTCAATTTTATCAGGGGAACTGATAGTAGCTAGTCTCCTCTTTATTTTACACCCTCCTTTCTTTGTTATTCTCCCTCTCCCTTCCTCCTCCTTCTGCCCTTCAATCCCCATTGTCTGACTCTTCATTTACTCTTCCTTTTGCTCTCCATATTCTTTCTCTTTTTTTACTTTTCTCTTGATACAACTTTTTCCTTTTTTTGTTCTTCTTTCAGCTTGACTCTCTTCTTTTTCCTGGTTTCCAAAGATAACCTAAAAATCAGGAAACACCCAGTGCTAAATCGTGGTTCCAGATCTGGTGTTTTTTCTGTGTCTTTTGAACATGACCCTTTTTGACTTTTATTTTCTCAGTAAAACAAATGCAACAACACCTGCTCTGCTGCTCTCACAGGATTCCTTCTTGTATCAGATGAGAGGGAGCAGAGGCAGAAGCAGACTTTACGTCAGAGACCAGGGTTTAGAGCCCTTATTTTACTACTAACGTTATTCTGCGTATAGTTACTTCATTTTGTTCATTGTTTTTTATTCCCATTCTTTTATATTTTTTAAAGCTTTATTTCTCCCTTTTATCCTATTCCTTGTTACCTTTTCCCTTTCCCACCCATTCTTTTTTACTCAGCCTATCCCTTTTTAAAAAATATATTTTTATTTATATCAGAGCTAAGGGAGGTGGGGGAGAGAATCATTGATCGGCTGCTTCATGCACGCCCCCTACTGGGCACTGAACCTGCAACCCAGGCGTGTGCCCCAGAGGGAGCCCTTCAGTACAAAGGCCAACTCTCTATCCACTGAGCCTGAGCCAAACCAGCCTGGGCTCAACCTATCACTTTTATATCTCCTTTAATTATAGCTCATGTTCATTTTTGTAATGAGTTATAACTTCCTCCTCTTTCAGCTGATACAAAAATACCTTGCACATTGTTTTTATTTTCAAACCACTATAATTGTTTTAAATGTGTCCCAGAAAGGAACATGTTTACCATTAGAATCCTACAGATTTTTTTAAATTAAAATTTTATTACCTTTTTGCAAGTTGGGCTAATTCAGTATGTTTTGAGTAACATGGTTTTTGTTTTACTTAAATTTATTTTTATTTTTTAGGGAGGTTTCACATAAATGGAATCCTAAACAAATAGGAGAACATCTTCTGCTGAAATCGTAAGTGAAATTTATATTGAAAATTTCTATTAATTTTTATAGCATTATAACTGAAAAAAAAAAAATCAAATAACTATACAGAAGGAAATTAGAACAATGAAATATCTAAGGGACTAGAAGTTCCAAGGACAAGTAAGAGGGTTTAGGAATAAAATTTTTGAAATATATATTATCTTTAAAATAAATCTTTTTATTTGAAGGGTGAAATCACAACCTAATTTTTCTTTGTGTTCTTAGGAAGTTAGCAGAGGTCCTTAACTTTTTAAACACAAGTTGCCAAGAAAATTATTATTATTTTATTATTAAGGAGAGATAACAAATCTATTTGTATGGTGATGAGCAAATTAAAAAACGTAGTCCTGAAGGCACTTAGTGATTTTACAACACTGACCATTTTGGTAGATTAGAATTTTACTCTTCACTTTTTAATTTTTTTTGAAGATTGTGAATTGGAAACCCCCCCAGCTTGCTGGCTCCCTTTGTGGGGCATTCTAGCACATTATTACTTAGTGATGTTCCATTCACCTTGAAAACTACTACTTGCCAGGACCTGGCCCATAGGGTTAGGTAAGTCCCACCTTGATATTATTTTAATAACTATATTTTGCAGGCTTGCAAAGTTGTAATATTACTCTGTCTAATATTAGTGGTAGGAAACAACTTTGCAAAGCTGTACAATATTGTTTTTTAATAATAAAAGGGGACTTCACTTACCATTGAAGACTGGCTTACCTCTGCTGGGTGGGAAATCTGGGAATGGATAATAGCAGAACTTGTTCAGAGATCACTGAGAAGGCAAGGAACAGAATGGATCCCACACCCTATATTTTAAGTGTCAGAGTTACAGGCTTCATTACCCATGTGCAGGTAGAGGTCCAAACAATGACTCAAATGAGCCTACATTTCATGCTTTAAAATAAAATCTATGTTCTTTGCAGGCTGTCCCTGTGTTATTAATACTTAATGTTTCATTTCTAATTGTTGAATAAAGATCTTCTGTTACAGGTCTCTGCAGTATCTTTAGGCTATAGATATTAATAGTTGAAAACCTTACAAATACCACTCAGGCTTGTTGATACATTAAAGTAGAATTATGTTGATACATTAAAGTAGATATTAAAAGATTTAATATAAGCATCTTATTTCAATAAGCTAATGTTTGTTTTAATTTTACAGCCTAACTTATATAGTGGCAATGCCTTTTTATTCAGCAAGTCTGATTGAAACAGTACAGGTGAGCTATTTTTTTATGGTCATTTTTTACTTAATAGTATTTTGGAATATTAAATGTATTATTTATGCCTGATTGTATACAGAGAAATTTAAAACAGTATCCTTTTAAACTTTTATTTTGCAAATACACGCATATTAAAGATTATATACTAGCGCTTTGTTGATAAGTATATTTCCTTTACAAACTTACTTCACACTTTTAGTTTTAATTTATTTTATCCCTTCTGAGACAGCTGTGTACTCTTTATTCAGATATCTCAGAATTCAGCCTTTGACTTGCTCTAAATACAAAAAATCCAAAGGGTTGTGTGTATGTGTGTTTTTTTTAATTTTGAGACACAACTCAGAATGATTATGGCTTATCAGAGGTCAATAAATTAAGCATGAAACATGGTAATCATCCTAACAGTGATAAGGTAGTCTGCATAGTAGTTTACTAACAGCACTCTTATTAAATAGGCCTTTTAAGAAACATTTGATACTATGGTATGTAAGTGCTACAAAGCTAAAGCAATCTCCCGCTAGTTTTTAAATTGTCTTATTATTTCTGACCACAGGGTGGCACTCAAGTACATCAAATCCATAGATTTTTTTTTCTTTTCCACCATTGGATTCTTACACTTTAAACTGTCAGATGAAGATAATTTAACTTCACCTATAAACAAAATCCAACTAATTGTGCATCACCTATCTGCCATTGCCATCATCACATCCTCTAGCATATTATTTGTCTTCAATATATTGATATATGAATTTATTCTCTATGAAAACAATGGATCAGCCTTTTCTCTTCAAATTACCTTTTCCACATAATTGCTTTTTAGGCCCCATCGTTGATTATTTATTTGTTTGTTTGTTTGTTTGTTTATTTATTTATTTATTTATTTATTAGAATTGACTTAGTGAACAGAAGTTAACATCTTGCTACTCAGATACACTTTTCTCTGCTTTTGCATTAAGTAATTGGTATCACCTTTGGGACTGCAGCTTACACTTACTACTCTATGAGATATTCTCATAGATGAGGAAAAAAATAGGAAGCTAATTGTTTAAGAAAAAGCAAGCAGCATGATATAGTGGCGAAAACAAGTTTATCAGAATCACATGTCTGTTTAGATCTGTGACTTTAAACAAAAATCTTAACTTTCTCACTCATAAAATGGAAACAGTAATTTAATAACTGGGTTGTGCTGGGTCTGGCTCAGTGGATAGAGCGTCGGCCTGCAGACTGAAAGGTCCCAGGTTCGATTCCAGTCAAGGGCATGTACCTTGGTTGCAGACAAATCCCCAGTAGGGGGTGTGCTGGAGGCAGCTGATCGATGATTCTCTCTCATCTATGTTTCTAACTCTTTATACCTCTCTCTTCCTCTCTGTAAAAAGTCAATAAAATATATTTTTAAATAAATAAATAAATAAATAAATAAATAAATAAATAAATAAATAACTTGGTTGTAAAAATTGAGTTACTTATAGTAACTATAGTGCCCAGCTCACTATATTTGCTTATTAACCCAGTATCTACCCCTCTTTTTCCTGCTCAAAGTTCTACCTGCTAATTGCCTCGTTTTGCTTGCTTGTCTCCTTAAGTTTCTCCTCTTCTTTAACTTCTTTGCCATCTGTTCTACCATACTCTTCAGACACAGTCCTTGACCCTGTCTGCTTTTATCCTGTATTCACCATTCTGGAGAACTCACTCTCATGAATCATTTTGACTCTAATCTTTAATAAGTGAATTAAATCATTATCATCTCATAAAGACAATCTTGTCTTATTCCTCTGAAAATTACCTTTTTTCGAGCATCTCCTTTCTTATTGATGTACTATTGTTATCTTCACCCTAGAGACTTAAAACTTTAGTTCTTATTTTTAGAAATGTCTTGATTTTTATATTTCTTTCATCCTTCATAACCAGGCAGTCATTATGCCTTCTTAGTTCTAACTCCAAAAAGTAACTGAGATTTGTCTGTTTCTCTCCACTGAAAGGCAACCATTCTCATTTCTTCTTTACCACATTCTTGGTTTATTATATTAGTTTCTTTCTTCCTATTTCATGTCCAGTAGGTTTTTGCCCTCCTGGGAGCTCGTTGAGAACATTCTTCCCTTGAAAAATACACATTTCTCTTTCATTGACTGGCTTATTTCACTCAGCATGATGTTCTCCAATTCCATCCAGGTTGCTGCAAATGATGAGAATTCCTTCTTTTTTATGGCAGCATAGTATTCCATTGTGTAGATGTACCATAGTTTTTTGATCCAATCATCTGCTGACGGGCACCTAGGCTGTTTCCAAATTCTAGCTATTGTAGATTGTACTGCTATGAACATAGGGGTGCATAGAAACACCACATGACCTCACTCATTTATGGATAATAAAGAACATTATAAACTGATGAACCAAAAGATAGATATAGAGACAGTATATCAACAAGTAGACTGTCAAATTACAGCAGGTAGGGTAGGGAGATCGGGGGGAGATAATAGATCAACCGAAGGACTTGTATACATGCATATAAGTACAACCAATGGACACAAAACTCTGGGGAGGGAGGGTATGTATGGGAGGGAGGGACAATGTTAAATTATGTACACAGATAATGAATTTTAAAAAATGGGGGGGGGGGAGAAAAATACACATTTATACATAGATCTCCTGAAGACCTCCTTAATTATGAACTTCCTAGTGAGCTATTGTCTTCATTAACAATCCCTATTCTAGTCACTGCATTCCACATCAGTGTAAGATTAATGTTCTTCACTTTCAGTTCTTCCATATTTTTGCTGATTAAAGATCCACACTGACTCAAACTTCTAAAATAAATTTCAGACTTTTCAGTATAGTATTCACTTAAGGTTTTTATTAACCTCACTTTATCTTTTCAGTTAATCTTCCTTAACTGCTCTTTTTAAATATATATATCATGAAAAATTGATTGAGTGTCAACCTGTGGGAACCCCTTTTATGTCCTGCGTGGTTCAGGGTTCCGGTTCAGGGTTTGGGTTCTGAAGAAGGGCCACACACAAATGAAAGAGACTAGAAGAAATTTAATTTGGTGATATGTGGGGGGCAGGTGGGAGCCCACTTCTATTGGGAGGACTACTGCCAGGCTCCGATCTTGCTGTCCCTTTTATTGAGACTATGGGATACACCCATTACCCTTGAGCATGTTTGGGATACACCCATAGCCCTTAGGCAGGTAATAAGTGGATTATCACACCAGTAATGATTTACATGATTATTTGATGGGGAAGTTGCTTCTGTTACCATTGTCTCAATTAGATAGGGAGTGGTTGGCTCTGACCTTTCAGAGCTTCAAGGTTGACCAGCCTTTTTCTAGTAGTGAGACAATTATCAGTTTCAGGCATCAACCTATATCAGGCACCATTATAGACCTTGGGGATATAACACCAAACAAAACAGACAAAAATGGTCTGCTTTCATAGCAGTTATATTTTTGTGGGGAAGATAAACATAAACAAAATCAATGTAAAGTATACGAGGTGGTGCTAAGTGCTAAAGAGAACAAAAATAAAGCAGGGAAATTAAATAAGATTAATGGGTTAAGCGGAGCAGCTATTATTCTTTTTAAATCAGAAAAGGCCTTATTGAGAAGGTAATATTTGAGTAAAGATCTGAGCATATGAACTATATAGATATTTTGGAGAAGAACAGTCTAAGCAAAAGGAAAGCAAGTGCAAAGATTGTATTTCATGTGTTTGAGGAGCAAAAAGGAGGTCAGTATAGTTGAAGCTCGCTAAGCAAGGAAGAGATGAGTTCTGAGAGGTAAGAGGATGATAAATCATAAAGGACATTTTAGGTCATTGTAATAATCTAGCCTTGTCTTTGAGGGGCATGGAAAGTCTTGGGTATATTTGAACCAAAGGGTGATTCTGGCATGTCTTTATTAAGATCTCTTTCGCTGCTGTTTTAAAAATAGATTAGAGTGGGAAAGGACCAGAGATAGGTAAATGGACTAGGTGAGCTGATTTTAGTCTGTGGTTTTAAATGTATTATATTTACTGAAAACACAATTATATGTCCAGGTTGGAGCTTTTTCTTGCCATCTGAGAGTTGTAACCTCCCAAGTTTATCCCTTAAACTTAACATTTTTGAACTCTTGATTTCTCCCCAAAATGCTACCCCATTCATATTTCCCAACTCAGTAAGAGGCATTGCTATTCCACTTTTTCTGGCCAACATCTTGAGGTTATCCTTTACTTCTCTCCTTCAAACCCAAATCCAATCCACCAGTAATTCTTATTGGCTGTAATTTTGGGGGAAAAGCACAGCTGACGCACTTCCCTCCCATTACTACCTGGTAGTCTGTCAAGTCTTTTCTGGATTATGTAATAATTTTTTAACTGTTTCTCAGCTTATTCTCCTCTGCAAAGTAGCCTAGCCAGTGTTAATCTAAATTATGTCTTGTCCATCTTCTGCTTAAAACCAGCTACCTTTGACTAAAAGACAAAGTCTGCTCAGTGGCATGGTATGGCCCCTGACTACATTATAACTTCATTTTATACTTTCTCTTCTTTAGTCATTACTGTAGCCAAATTGGCTTCTTGCTGTTTCTTTTCTGCCTGTCCATGATTCTGACCTGTATCACAAACTTTGTTATACATATCCTCAAAATTATAGATAGGCAGAGACATTGCAGATGATAATGACTAAGGCCTGTCTGTCAGGCCTTTTTTCACTTAATACTCCTAGCAACTCTATGCGTAAGAGGTAGATGGTACTAATTCCACTTTTATAGAATGGTAAACTAACTTAGGAGAAGTTAAATAACTTGCCACTGGTCACATAACCAGTAAGTAATGGAGGCAGGGTTGAAACCCATTTGTAAGAAGTCTAAGCACTATAATACCTCTTTTGTGTCAGGGGGTTAATGCTTTTCAAAATTATTTCTAAGGAGCTTCTTGAGGCCAGGGAAACCAGGTGTGTCTCCATCCACATCTCCTATTCTTTTCCTTTTCTAATAAAAGTAGCTCCCACTTCACTGCTATCTGTTTTTATGAAATTTCATTTGAAAAAAAGAATCTAACACGTAGGTAAATTTGAAGTCTGTAAACTATTGGTGTTTTTCCCTTTTTGGTCAGCAAATTGCTATTTAAAAGGAACCTAAAAGTTCTTTTGGGGAGGTAAAATAAGCAAATATTAACTTCCACTCATTTCATCATTTTTATTTTAGAGTGAGATAATTCGAGATAATACTGGGATTTTGGAATGTGTTAAAGAAGGCATTGGAAGAGTGATAGGCCTGGGAGTGCCTCATAGCAAAAGACTGCTTCCTCTTCTCTCCTTGATCTTCCCCACGGTGCTGCATGGGGTTCTTCATTACATCATCAGCTCCATCATTCAGAAGATCGTCCTACTAATTATAAAGAGAAAGACTTATGGCCACCCAGCTGACAGCACTAGCCCGGTGCAGAGTATGCTGGATGCTTATTTTCCAGAACTAATTGCTAACTTTGCTGCCAGTCTTTGCTCTGATGTTATACTTTATCCTTTGGAAACAGTTTTGCACCGCCTTCACATTCAAGGAACACGCACAATAATTGACAATACAGACCTTGGCTATGAAGTGCTTCCAATTAATACACAGTATGAGGGAATGAGAGACTGTATCAATACCATAAAGCAGGAGGAAGGAATGCTTGGTTTTTATAAGGGGTTTGGTGCTGTTATAATACAGTACACATTGCATGCAGCTGTCTTACAGATAACTAAAATCATTTACTCTACGCTTCTTCAAAATAGCGTTTGAGATGTAAGTTCCTGATTAGTCTAAAAGGCACAATCTGGACACTTTGCTATGAAATTGTGAGGGATAAAAGTGAATACTGGGGGGGGAAATGGATTAGAAGTGAAACTGGTAGAGAAAGCCCATGTTCATTATATTGACTTTTTTTTTTTTTTCCTTAAGGCATAGGTCTCTTTGGAATCAAAAGTATTCCAAATTTGAAAACTCAATAAAAATAATATTCATCAATTAAATTCTAGCTAGTGTAGCACGCATACAGAACTAAAAATGATGTTGGGCAGAAGCAAAAATTTATCAAATACAAAGCAAAACTTTACAGAGCTGAATTTATTCTATCTAACTTTAATATTTATTACATGTTTATTTTACCTTCTTGGTTGATATTTGTATGTCATCCTTAATGTGTGGTATCAAGAGGTCATAGCTTACCTTCAAGCAATAAATGTGTAACAGTGATAATGATGAGAAGGATTAGATTTGGCAATCTGTAATCAGGAGTTGAAGTTTTAAATTGTATTATCCCTATATAACGTTTTAATGGCTGCATATTATATAAAGCCATTTTTGTTCACATACAAAACTTGGAATTTCCTTCCTTTCAACAAATTTTCCACCCTTAGATCAGCTTATTACATAAGATGAAGTCACACACGTTCTGTTTAAATATCAAAATAGAATATTAAAAGCCAAGGTATCCAAAGATTTAAGGCAAACAGCATACTTGTCTATATCCAAATGCAGCATTTTGGTACCAGCAATTTGATGTTCGTCATATGTTTATAAAGCTTGATTTGCTTACCTAGTTATGTGAATCATCAGGCTGTTTTTAGAGCCACTCTTAACAGAGATAGAAAATAAAATAATCATGACAACTATTACTGTTTCTAAATTTAGAAATTGTGTGCTGAAAGGAATATCACTTGTCTTTCATTTCTGAATGAGTGTCTTAGTGGAGACGTGATTAAAATTCACCTGGGAATTTGTGCCTCTTGCCTTCTGTATAGTTATCATAAATTAATGTCTTCAGTTTTTATTCCAGGTTTGTTTATAATTTCATAATCCAAATATCCTTAATGCCTTTTATTTAAACTTGTTTGGATGAATACTGAAGAAAAAATATAAACTTTAAAGAAAGTTTGTCCTCACTTTTTATGGATGAGGTAAAGAGGTAAATTTTAATAAATAATAAGCAAAAAAATTGTATGTTCCTAAACGGATGAAGTTCTTTGTATAGTAAAATGATATGCATTTGACTGATCCATCATTTAACATTTTAAAGTTTCATTCCCTCCTGTAAGTGTTCACAGTTTTACTATGAGCCATGTAGTACACTGAAGTGCAATGACTTTGCACTTACATTTTCAAGCCAGATTTATAAATAGACTTATTTTAGTTGCTAAATATCAGAGAAGTGGTTACTTGATGTGATTAATAATGTTGGAATAAAAAAATGATAACCAAGAAGTGTGAAACAGTATTTAAGTAGCAACTCTGTCTATTATCCTGTGTTGTATGTTTGTGGGTGGTCCCCCCCCCCCCAATTACTAAAACATACAAGTTTTACGTTTTTAAATTTCACCAAGAGAGGAAAAATAAAATTAAACACCACTGATCAGATATTGTATTTTATGTTTACTCTTTCATATTATGGTTTATTTTCTCCAATGTATGGCATTTAAATTGTATTCATTACTTTTAAACTACTAAGTAAGTTGTTAGATATTTATATGTCAAACTTCCTAAAAATCCTTTCTTTTTTATTATAATCAATGAAGATAGTTTCAGGCAAGAGTTAACTTCTGAAAATTGCAAGTATCAGAAAGTTTCTGGGAGAGAATCTGAATGGAATCAAGTATTTACTAGTGGAAATAAATGGGATCTTTTACCTAGTAAAAATTAGGTATTTCAAAATTATTTGATGGAAGTTAGCATGTAGATTCAGTTAGATAATTGTTTCATTATGAAATCATTTCAAGACTAATAGCTTGAACCACGCACAAGTAAGGTTAGTCTTATTTTCTGTCTCTTTGGAAAAAGTAATCAAATTAACATCAAAACAAAATGAAGTTGGCCAAAAAAATTGAATGTAGCAAGTTAAAATACTAATTTTTTTAAACTCTTCACCTGATGATATGTTTTTACTGATTTTAGAGGGAGAGAAAAGAGAAGAGAGATGAGAGAGAAACATTGATCTGATCAAACTTGCAACTTGGGTATGTGCCCTGTCCCTATTGGTGTACTGGACAACACTAGCCAACTGAACCACTTAGCTAACGCAAAATACTAATATTTTTTACTCACATTACAAAATAGTTGAAATATAAAAATCTTCAAAATTCAAGCACTTAAATGCTGGCCAAATATGTATAACTGAATTTAGAGAGGAATAAGTGAAATAAACATTGGACATGCTCTTTCCCTTTTTTAAAAGAGCATTATTTCTTTAGTATATAGGTGCCAAAAGCAAATATCCATGCACTACATTTCTTTGGGTGATAACAGCTCAATAATATTTGCAATACAGTATGATTAATAGTATGAATGAGAATCCATAGGCCCTATGGTCGCTTCACATAATCGATTTTGGCCATGGAGATGAAGTGTGATATGCTTGCCTTACATTGTATGAGTTCTTAATTTGAGTCAGATAGCTAGAAAGCGATTGAATTAAAAACTGAAACACATGATAAATATTAACTTATTTTGTTTAGTGAATTTATTCATTGATTTCCTAAATCTGTTTATAAATTTCTTTACCATATGGACCCTTTCTATGGACCCTTTAAAATAATTCCTAAGTTTATCAAGTTTAATCAAGCCTCTAAATTTTCAGCACTAGATGTATGAGATAGTTAAAAACCAGCCAATTTCAAAATGGCTCTGGATTGGGGGATGTGATGTGTTAGTTACTATTTCCACAAACAAAACTGGAGAGGTAAGAAGTCTCACTCATGTACCTGACTACTCACAGCTCTTTTTAGTACTGGCTTTATTATAACCGCACAAAATACTCATTTTACCTGTTGGGCACAAATGCTTCAACATTTCTCAGTGTGTTCATAGATCTGCTCAGAAAATAAAATATTCTGCTTTAATACTGGTCTTTTTCACATGTGATTCTGAAGGATGTTTGCCTTCAGTTTGCTTACTCCCATGTTTTATCATAAAGGACTACTTTTCCAGCTCTTGAAAAGATAGGCAGGTTTCAATTAGGTTTTCCCCCCCCAATAATATAAGCAAATAAAATCCCCCTAGTAACACTTCACATTGCACTAGAATTTCAGTGATCTTAACTTTGGCATTTCTGCTTTCTCTTCTAAGTAGTTGTACATTTTGCTCGCTAATGTGTTTCTTTTGAGTCATTGAGAATCACTGACATGGTACCAAGTTGGATAGCAGAGTAGCAAAAAATTGGGATTTGACAATGACTCATATAATATTACCTCAACTAGAAGAGGTGTTTTGTTTGTATGTGTATTTCTGTGTGTCTTTTTAAGTTGTTTTTATCTCACTGACGTTTTAAATGTTTTCAGTAAGTTGTGTAACATGAAAAGATTCAATAAAATGTTGAAATAAAGTTAGAATTTTTCTATTACTGAAATGTTGAAATAAAATTGGAATTTTTCTATTACTGATGCTGGAGAACTATGCAGGCTGGTGATATAGGGGTTCAGAATATGTCACCCCAAAACATGGGGTTAGCATTTGTTTGAAAGGTACTTGAGAAGCAGTGGTGCAAAATGGACACTGCCCCTCCTTTGCCCCTCTTAAAGTGTATGATAAAGTTACCCTGCTTGTACCAGGGAGAGTCATGGAGTTTAGGGCTCTGTAAATAAACCTTGTTAATTCCTCACCATTTATTTCCCTTAGCACAAACCCCTCTGCCTTGTCAATTCTTCACAAGTGAATTGTTTCATTGTCTAAAAGATAATAAAATTTTCTGCTCTGATCACTTCTTTGCATCATGTTTTATAGGGCTTCTGTATATACAAACTCAAGTTTTTCTCCTATTAATTTGTCTTATGTTAATTAAGTTATTAGACCAGCCAAAGAAGGGGAGAAGGAAAATTTTTCTACACTACAGTGATAAAAGTTTCTTTTTTTTAAAGAAATGAAGACCAAGAAAAAAAAAATATATATATATATATATATGTAAAATTAAACTTTTTTGCCCAACATTTAAAAAATCCTTAGTGATGTTTTATGAATTGGACTCCAAAGGCAAGGGAAAACAATAAACAAATATGGGACTACATCAAACAAAATGACCAACAAAACTAAAAGATGTTAGAAGACATTTGCAAATGATATTTAAAAAGGGTTAATATCAAAAATATATAAAGAATTCCTACAAGACTACAACAACAAAAAACGATTTAAAAAATAGTCAAAGAACCTGAATAGACATTTTTCTAAGGAAGACATATAGATGGCCAGCAGGATTTTCAACATCACTATTTATTAGGGAAATACAAATCAAAACCACAGTGAGAAATCACCTCACACTTGTTAGAATGGCTGTTATCAAAAAGACAAAAAAGTGTTGGAGAGAATGGAGAAAAGGAGCCCTTGCACACTGTTGGTGGGATTGTGCATTGGCACAACCACTGTGGAAAACAGTATGGAGGGTCCTCAAAAAATAAAGAATAGAACTACCATATCATCCAGCAATTCCTCTTCTGGGTATTTATCTGAAAAATATGAAAATATTAACTTGAAAAGATATATGCACCCCTATGTTCACTGCAGCATTATTTATAACTAGAGGCCCTGTACACAAAATTTGTGCATGGGAGAGGTGGTCCCTCAGCCCGGCCTGCAGCCTCTCATAATCCAGGACCCCTCGGAGGATGTTCAACTGCCAGTTTAAGCCTGACCCCTAAACTGGCAATTGGACATCTCTCTCAAAATCTAAGACCACTGGCTCCTAACTGCTCACCTACCTACCTGATTGCTTCTAACCACTCTGCCTGTCTGCCTCATCCCCCCTAAACATTCTACCTGCCTGCCTCATCACCCCTAATTGCTTGCCTTCCTGCCTACCTGATCACTCCTAACTGACTCTGCCTGCCTGCCTGCCTGATCACCCCTAACCACCTCTGCCTGCCTGCCTGATCACCCCTAACTGCTGGCCTGCCTGCCTCATTGCCCCTAACCACTCACCTGCCTGCCTAATCACCATAAACACTCTGCCTGCCTGCCTCATTGCCCCTAACTGCTCACCCTGCCTGCCTCATTGAACCTAACCACCTCTGTCTTGGCCCCCCGCCACTGTGGCTTTGTCCTGAAGGACATCTAGAATGATGTCTGGAAGGTCATTTGTCCAGTTAATTAGCATATCCTGCTTTTATTATTATAGATTATTATATAATAGATATCCAACATATGGAACAACCTAAGTGTCCATTGGATAAAGAAGATGTGATGTATTACGTACAATGTAATACTACTCAACCAAAAAAAAAGAAAAGAAAATTGCCATTTGTGGCAACATGGGTAGATCTTGAGGGTAAGTGGATGATTTCACTCACATGTGGAATATAAAAAAGAAACAAATGAGTAAAGAATATAAAAACCAAACTCATAGATACAACAGAATGATGGATATCAGAGGAGGAAAAGTCCTTAGGGAAGGACAAAATGGGCAAAGAGGGTCAAATACATGGTGGGGGATGGAAACTAGACTATTGGTGGTGAACACACATAGTGTATACAGATGCTAAATTATAATGTATACCTGAAACATATCATGTTATTAACCAGTTACCTCAATAAAATAAAATCATTTTGATATAACTGTGATATGGCTCACAGATAACATTTTCTAAATATGGTTTCCTTTGCATTATCTTTTGTTTACAAAAGAAAAACATTTTCATATTTGATCCTTACAGCATTCCTCAGGCATTTTCTAAGGAGTCCCGTGAGGGAGGAAATAGATATAGATGGTGGGCCCAGCTTGAAAGTGGTATAAGGTTATCAGAAAAACCTATAGCCTCCCAGGCAGGACTGATGGTTGAGACATGCAGGAGACTGCCTAAAGCCAGGGATGGGATTTTTTTTTTTTTGGCAAATTGGGACATTTAATGTGGTCATGCATCCTGGGGAATTTAGAAAGACACACATATGCCCAGGACAGTATGCATACTCAGAACAAAACTGAGAAGACCCTAAAGGTTCACTATTGGATGACTTATAAACTCAGACAGGAAGTGAAGGGTTAGGCAGAGTTGTAAATAATCTGGCTAAGTGTTCAAGGGGTGTCCCAACACAGAGTCCATCCACCAAGTTAAGCAACTAACTAAATACAAAGCCAGAAATCAAACTTAGGTCTTGTGATCCAGTTCAGTGTCTCACCCTAACCCCTCAAAGTCCAGAATAGATGGTACTGGGGCCCAAGACAGGCTGCCCCGAAGTATCCCATAATGGCATATCTTTTATTTATTTATTTATTTATTTTTATATATTTTATTGATTTTTTACAGAGAGGAAGGGAGAGAGATAGAGAGCTAGAAACGTCGATGAGAGAGAAACATCGACAAGCTGCCTCTTGCACACCCCCTACCGGGGATGTGCCCGCAACCAAACCGGAATCGAACCTGGGACCTTTCAGTCTGCAGACTGATGCTCTACCACTGAACCAAACCGGTTTTGGCGCATAATGGCATAACTTTTAGATAAAGCTATTTGACCAACAACTGGTGCCAGAAGGGCACCTTGACCATCCTTGTCTCCTTGAATGCAGGAAATAAATCCCTGTGAGAGGTATCTTCCCACATCTGGAAGACCCTTATATTAAACAACTTAGAGCCCCCCCCCCAAAAAAAAAAAAAATCTGTGTAATCAAAATTTATTGCAACTTTTCTAATTTACTGATTTTAAATTCTTCATTAACAAATACTCAAACCTTGTTTATATTCTTCTATAATGAGCATTTAACTTTTTTGTTTGGTCAACCTCTCACAAATGTATTGTTTGTTTGTCTAAATAGTATAAAAGGTGCCTGGTTTGATCATTTCTTTGAGCCTCATTTTATGGTCTGAGCATCATATTGCAATTCTGTGGGCAAGTATTATTTTGTTTTTTCTCCTGTTAATCCAGTCTTGTGTCAATTTTATTGCCTTATTATTATTCTTATTGCTATAAGAACTACAGAAGGGTAGAGATGGAAAATTCTCCCCCTCCTGACAATGTTCTAATAATATCTGCTCTTTAAAAATAAGAACAATGGCTAACATTTATTGAGCACTTAGTAAAATGCCACATCATTAAGAATTTAAGTGCATGACTTCATACATTCCCTCCAGCACCCTTATAAAGTAGGTACTGTTAGTATCTCTTTTTATAAATGCAGGAACAAAGGCTGGGAGGTTAAGAGCTTTGCCTAAGATCAGACAGTAAGTAGCACAGCTAGGATTTAACTCAAGCTTGCCCAATTCTTACACTTCTAGCTGGTCACCAGGCTAAAGTTTGTCTTGCTTTAGTGACATCCAACAGAAGGGCCAAAGGACACCTCTGTTCTCACTAACTGATGAATTGCTTCTCTGCTGAATCTGTACCGGTTTCTAAAAGCTCTTTGCTAGGTCCTTCTACAGCCCTCACCATTCCTCTGGAAACAATCTCCAACCTCTCTCCTTTTCTTTGAGCTTCTATAGCCTCTTATTCTGACTTATTATATGGACTTTCTACCTTGTAGTTATCTGTAGCATTTAAGTTTTCAAAATATACTAGACATGATGTTGTCTCCACATTCCCACTATACATGCATAGACAAAGACATAATGAATTACACAGACATAATACATATGGAATGAGCAAAGGAATCTTATAGAATACTATACCCAATCTTGTCTATATACTTTAAACGTATTCCCTTTTAGCTTATAATTTCAAAAGTGAAAGTGACCTTTGGAAATCATCTTGACTAAATCTCTAATTTTACACAATTGTAAACTGACTCCTGGAGATGTTTGGTAATTTGACTAAGGTCACAGAATAACAGCTTGTACTACAACCCAGGTCTTACCACTCCCAGACTGGTTTGTCCTGTATCACCTGCCACTTATCTTTCATTCAACACTGACTGACTCCCTCCATTCTATCTACGCATATCTATACAAATATACAAATACTAGAGGCCCAGTGCGTGACATTTGTGCATGGGGAGGGGGAAATCCCCTCAGCCCAGCCTGTACCCTCTCCAATCTGGGACCCACTGGGGGATGTCCTACTGCTGATTTAGGTCCGATCCTGGGAATCGGGCCTAAACCAGCAGTAGAACATTCCACTCACAATCCTGGACCATTGCCTCTGTGTGCCAGCCTGATCGCCCCTAACTGAACCCCCCTCTAGCCTGGTCACCCCAAACTGCCCCCCTCTGCCAGCCTGGTCACCCCTAACTGCCCTCCCATTGCTGGCCTGGTCACTCCCAACTATCCCCCCTGCTGGCCTGGTTGCCCCACGCAGACTACTGTTCAGTCATTCGGTCATCCCTCACTAAGCCCTCTGTTGGCCTGGTCAGAGGCAGCCATCTTGTGAGGTCATGAGGGTCAATTTGCATATCACCTCTTTATTATATAGGATATACATGAAATTCTGAGCTCTGTGGCACTTGATAGATATCACTTTTTTTTTTTAATCAACTTGCAAATTTTTTATCTCATTCATGTTTTCTCTTCTTCACTGGTTCCAATTCTACTTCTGTGAGCAGAGTTTCCTATGTTCTAAGGCTTTACTGTTTTGCCTAGGATATATCATCCACTACCATTGTTTCAATTTAATTTTCTGTGTTTACACTCAGCCCTGATTTGTCCTCCAATCTCCACACCCACATCTCCAATTACTTTATGCATATTGGAACTTGTGTTCCTCACTGTTGCCTCAAATTCAATATATTGAAAGCTTAATTCATTGTCTTTTACAAGCTAGCTGCCTTCTCAATAAAGTTAACAT